AGGTACGTGTGGCTGATCAGGCCAGATATCAGCACGGAGTTTGACCCGGTTTCACACAGGCACACATGCGCGCTCGTATATTACAGGGGGAGGAAACTTTCATTTGTTCAGAATATTATTGTAGACAGAGAGAGTTGGAGGATGAGTCTTTGTGTCCGCAGCTTATTTCTCGTGTTGTTTTGAGGAAAGACAGCCTCCAGTCACGAGGTGCATCACATTCATGCCTGACCTAAATAAAGGACCTCCTTCAGGCCAGTTTTCCAAGGCCATGTGACTTGGCAAGTCACTGTCATGTCAAGTGTTTAACAGAAGCACCCATGTTTTGTTTAATGGTCAGCAACGTACTTTTCAGTCTTCCCATTTGGCTGTGGGCCAACACCAGGATACCTTGGTTGAACTACCGACGATCCTTGCGAACTCTGTCTGAACACTTCCCAAGACCCTTCAGCCTTGCTGGGGGAGTCCTAGTGAATTCCACTGTGCATGATTTTAAGGCCAACCGATGTTCTTGGACCTACCTGAGAGTGGACCAGGGCACCTTGAAGAGCAACTGTACTCGCTCACGCTCTTTTTCCACTTGAGCCAATGCAACGAGTGCATACCCGATTGACCTCTGGTTTCTGGTGTCGGGTGACTGTCAGTAAATGGATCTGTGGATCTTGTGATATACAGGATGATCCGTCCATTCCTCTCCAAAAGCACTGCCAAAAATAGCTTCAAATGCTACAGCGTGGCCTTTGGTTCACTAGTCTTTACATATGGAGAACTGTCGAGCTCGGCTCTGACAGAGTACTTATGGTGTACTGATTCCCAGCAACAAGTCTTCAGCATACACTAGAAGCGTACACTGCAAGATGTCATGTAGCACGGATGGAGCTTCACACCCCCCCATGCTGAACGGCTGTTGCTTAAAAAGAATTCTCTTCCACAGCTCATCGGAACATCTAAATCTGCATTCCAATGATCGAAAACAATCAAGGAACTAGGACCGGAATACTGTGGATCTCAGCAAAAACTTGAAACACTTCGAAATTTCTCTCTCCAGCTTCGAATCTCACCCACGTGGCTTCGACTCATAGCAATTCGCACACACTCGATATTTTACCAAGGTGTCCGACTGCCGAAAAGCGCAGTATGGACCAATGTGCAAGAATCGCTCTTGTGAACCTTCTCTCGGAAAATCGCCATACAACTGGCGTCCAGATTCCACAAGATCAAAATTGATACACTCGCAGGTCTTGTACTCAAGAAATCGGTTTCGACGAACATCGGCTCGTGCCAAATGGTGGCACGTGGAGAAATGCACCACTTCCCTTCTGCTAAAGGTGGTCATCACAGTTCCTGCTGAACTTCGACGCGGTGTAACAATCCCTTGAGCATCAACCCTGGATCAGGTATCATTTTGTGGACCTCTAGGTGGATCACTTGAACTCACTCCCGCAACATTGTCCAACCTCTCTGGATGGTCTGGAGATTGATCTGCTGTACGCACATCATCTGCTAAGAGATGAAACAAATCATCTTCTGCAACATAGGGTTCACCCAGGTTCCGAGCTTCTCTTGCAGAGGTACCCGAATCCGGAGTGTCGGACATGGCTAAGCAAAAGATGAAGATTGGTTCAACTTAGTTGAATCAAGAAAAGTCTGTGCTTGCAAGCTAAAAGTGATACATTCTTGGATATCCGTCTTGAAACACGTGAGATCTCATTTAAATCTTCATGAAGTTCCTGGCAAACCTTAGTGCGAAACGATAAGGATATAAACCAAGACTCTTCGAATCCTGATGATTCAGGGGCGCATGCTTGAAACATTTACACACCGGCATCTTCTTGGCCAACTCATCATGACTGCTCATGATCCTATACTCGTGCTTCGCTCGAACCTCTTCTGTCGAGAACGCACATCTCGCTACCACGATCTCATGCTTCAGACCTTGACGTTCCACAAACAACTCAATCTCTTGCTCTTTCCAGTATCTACAACTCTTCGAAAGCTCCAACGCCCTGACATGTCCCTCTTGGAAAATTGATTCAACATCATGGAGAATTGGGACAAACTCGGACCAATGGCGTTCATAGAGACTCTTCCCATCCGAACAGAGCTGCAACATAGGACTTCCACCAGTACACGGTGGTGATCCCCAAGCAAGGATGGTCACTAAATTCCCGATCTGCTGCATCCAATCACAAGTCATCTTACACACATGTGATAAAGGGGTATCCAAGGTGATTGAAACAACTCTCAACTTAGGAAACTTGTTTTCAATCTGGGTAAAACCGGCTCTGCCACTAGTACAAACATCCACTATCACGTGTGTGCATTGACCCATATGGATGGCTGATGCAATCTGTATCAACCTCTTTCGGAACGACTGAAGGCATCGTGTAGCCGCCGCCTCTACGGGCAACACCTCTACGGGCAACACCTCTGTGGGCAACACCTCTCTGGGCAACACCTCTATGGGCAACACCTCTCTGGGCAACACCTCTAAGGGCAACACCTCTACGGGCACCAACTTCTTCGCGAAGTCCAGCTCTAGCTTGCTAGCCAGCTCAGAGCCCACCTGATCATCGTCAGGCACGTCCGATTCCGAATCGAACATCACCGTCCTCTCACGGGACACATCCGCCTGAACCTCATGTTCGGCACGTTCACCTCGTGAACCACTCGATCCAACTGGATC